TTACAAGCATTGAACTTAGCGACACAGCACTTTCAGAGGTAAACATGCTTGTCAACAGCCAGCCCGTGCCTAGCGACCTGCCGTCCTTGCATCTATTATTCCACATGGAATAAGTAGAAAGAAAACATTCCCAAATAATTAGGCTGATTAATTATGCAAGGAAAGCCAGGAACACCCGGGAAAGGGCCTTTTCTCTGTAGTCCCCCGAACTCTAGACGCTCGGAGCGAAATCACAATCCTGTGAGCTGGTCAGTCAACCCCATTCTATCAGGTCAACAGCAAAAGCACGTTTTTAGACTGCTCTAACGTTCACAGCATTAGGCTCAAGGACCGCTCTTTTCCTCCTATGCTGATAGTGATCGCTGTGAACAAAGCCTCTCTGTAGGCTCATCTGTCATTCAGCTGTCGTTGTACAGCAATGACAGGAACATCCTTTTTGACGAGCTTTTCATCTGGGGAAGAAGACAGTCAAAGAGCCTTCCTGGTTTTGACAGGATCACCAGTGACTAACGTAGCCCATACTCAAAGACAGCTAGCTGGCCGACATCACTGCACACGATCCGAGTCATCCGGACCACAGCCTCTGGAGCTGCCCTCTGAAGCAGCTGGATTAGACAGCTGTTTAAGAAACAGCCCAGCAAACTGGTCTCCTTCAGCTGAACTTCAGTAGGAGACTAAATTCAGTAAGTGATCACCCGAATATGAGTCCTACCTCCCTCACAGAGACATCCCAGCACACATCTCACAAGACATATGTTCTAGGCCAAGTTCGAAGCAGCATGGCTAAACAGCACTTTCTGTTGCTTGCAAACTGTGTGTGTGTGTGTGTGTGTGTGTGTGTGTGTGTGTCTGTGTGTGTCTGTGTGTATGTGTGTATGTGTGTGTGTGTGTCTATCTGTCTGTCTGAATGACCATAAAGAAACACTCATATTTGCTAAATTTCTAGATGGTTCAGTTCTGTGAAAAGGGGGCACTAACAACTGCATGTTCCATTTGACCCTTTCTCAGACCATTCTTAGAATTAGACGGCTACAGTTTATCTTAAGAGTCCATAGGGAGATTTCCAACGTATACTCTTAAAAAGATTATCATCATCGTGGAGACAAAGTCTTACACAGTGGTCCCAGCTGGCCTAGGATATAGTCTATAGTCTAGGCTGGCCTCAAACTCACAGCAATCCCACTGTCTCAGCCTTCTGAGCAACACCAGCATTGGGCGCAGTACATTTAGAAGACACCCCAAAGCTGTCACTACTGAAACATAGATAGGAATGGACAGCAACTGACCAGGGGAGTGAGAAACCAGGACTAGGGAGCTTCTGCAGGGCGGGAGTAACCTGAAGGCCAGTGCAGGTGTGTGAAAAGGTAAGAGTTGAGACAGAGGCTAAGGAATGGCGTCATCAAGAACAAGACAGGACTTAGCCTGTGCCGGCAGACGCTGTGAAGAACTGGAGAGATGGCCCAAAGGAGACCAAAATGGCAGAGTAAAAGCTGGCCCTGGCGACGGCCACCTTCAGTATGGAGTCCCCTTATGCAGACCAATTCGGGAACACAGAGACTGTGCCAAGGTGGAAGGAATACCAGATTTAGAAGCAGAGTCTGAGAGTCAGTTCTAGTACTAGTTGCAGCTCCAGGCAGGTTACACAACTACTCTTCTGTCAGTCTCTGCACCTATAAAACTGGTTTGCCAATGGGTCTGTAGTAAGTTTAATAATAATTAGAGACTGTATGTGCAGCAATGAAATGGAATCCTCAGCTAACGAGGCAGTGGACAGTAACTGACGGCTTATTATCCCCGCACCGTCACATTGGCACAGACAGTAGTCTCACATGAGCAGTTTCTGATGGGAACACACCTTACATACATAGTTACTGATGATAATAACAACAGTAGAGGACCGCAGAGGCAACACTAGATGTAATAAGTGCATCTCTTGCTGGTCACATCTGACAGTCAAACCATGAAAAATTCAAGGTTGCTTCTCAGAGAATTTGCAGTTTCCCTCTGAACTCTGATGTTACATTTGTAAGTTGAGTTTTATACCACACAAACAAATGAAATGACTTAATCATGTCTCTCCCACCCTCTCAGCCCTGCCTTCCTGTATTTATTACCAGCACTGACTGTACCAGCCGGTAATCACATGGTTGAGGGCCGTTAGGAAGTGGTCCAAAGGTTCTGGGGGCTACTGTGGGGTAGGAAGTGTCTTGAACATGAGAAATGTTCAAGAGGATGAGCATAAATGGGGTAAGTTACTCCACAGCTGCGGCTCCTCACTTCTGAGTCATCTATACCTGTGTATACTTCTTTATAATTCTCATCCATAAACTACGTGGGATAGAGATGATCATCTCTGGCCTACAAATATGGGCAGTGAAGCTCAGCAATCCCTACAGATCACACTTTGGGAAGAGGCACAATCTGCCTCTGGACTGTGCAGGTGCGTGGCCCCTGCGATTGTTCTGAGTTCTCTTTGTTAGTCCATCAGGTATGTTTACTCTTCAAACATTTATATTTGATATTCTCACTCTAAAAGCTCAGATTTCTGAGAAATATAGTTTGCCTTTGAATGGCTTTATGTTAATTTGTTCATTCTATAATTGTGGAGTAGATTTGTGGGAAATTAATCTCACTAAATTTAGCAGTTTTTCTTATGTGAATTTATTTTGATGTTTCCAATGTTTTAAAGACTTCATGAAGAGATTTTAAACTGAAAATAGATAAAAATGAATTATATTGGCAAACATTTCCTTTCAGGGGCTAGTGAACTCTTTACTTCATTGTCCTTAGAGATAAATTATCACTATAAGATGCTTTTATGAGTGAAATTACTATAGTTTAAGGTCCTATGTGATTTCATTTTTTTTTAAATTGGCACCTTTGTTTCTTAGAAGTTGAAAAATAGTTTAGTTCCATGTGAAATAAATGTACCATATTATTAAAGACCCATGGTGTCTGCCATGTGACAGGTCAAAATAGACCAACTATGGAAATCTACTGAGGATAGGCTTTTATCAGCCACGGCGGCATTTCTAGCACAGTGGGCAATTCCATCAATCATAAAGTCTTCAACGTTTGACAGTCAGATCTGCTGGCCTTAGTACTTATAACAATATCTAAACAGGCAGATTTGGGGTTCAGGGTAGTGGTTAGTGGCAGAGAGCTTGCCTCGCATGTGCGGCCCTGGAATAAATTACAGGAGCAAGAGAGAAGGGGAAACAGGAAGTAGCAGGTGTGTTTGTTGTCGTAGTTATCCGTTCATAATGCCCAAGGCTCTGTCAGGCTTACAGTCTCTCTCTCTCTAACACACACACGCACACGCACACGCACACGCACACGCACACGCACACACACACACACACACACTCGTTAACTCCCTTTTCACAGGTCTCTCCCATAGCTGGTGTCTCCCCTAACGGCACTGTCTGTAAGCACAGGACCCCTGACTAGGCATGGTGGCATGCCTGCAGCCCCAGCACTTGGGAGGCTGAGGAAGGAGGCGAAGGTTCAAGATCGCTGTGGCCACACAGGGGGACACTGCCTGGGAAAACACGCAACGACCACACCCCTGACTAAAAGAACGTCACTTCTCATCTGGTAATGACGCTGTTGTTCGTGTAGAAACCAATTTACCGATGCGTCATCAGGGGAAACAGGAAGAAACTCAGCCATTCTAGTTAACGGTGCATGTTGTATTTTATGCGTTGGCTGATCTATTCTGTCACGTGACCACAACACTTACCAAGCGGCAAGAATGCAAGACGGTTTCCAGCCATGGAGAGCTCGTTGAGGCTGGGCAGCCGGCAGAGCTGGCGCGGCACACACCACAGCCGATTGCGGTCCACGGTGAGGTACTGCAGAGAAAGGCACAGGTGAAGCCTCTCGGGCAAAGCTAGCAAACGATTGGTAGAAATGTCTAGTGTCTGCAGCTCCTTCAAATCGCCAACCTCTACAACCAAAATCAAAATGAAGACAAATCGCATTCTGATTAACTTAAAAGAGAAAGTGAAACGAGTCAATACTGCTACAGTTCAAATAAATAAAATCAGTGTGCAGGACTATTTCCACAGACACGGTGCACAGAATCGGGGGCTAGACCGCAAGCCATCCAGCCCACGTAAGCATCCCCTCTTAGGGGCTGCACATGTCTCGTCTGTGTATGGAGATGGGCGAAGTCAACACCGCGTCTTCCTCCATGTCTCCACTTCTGCGCCTGGTACTTACTGTTTCAGTTATTCTGGCTGGCCAGGGAGCCCCCAGGTTCTACCTTTCCTTACCTCCTATATCAGTTAGGGTTACAGATGTGCACCACGGTGTTTTGTTTTGATTTTTTGTTTTCGTTGTTATTTTTGTTTTTTTGAGACAGGGTTTCTCTATGTAGTTTTGGTGTCCATCCTGGAACTTCCTCTGTAGACCAGGCTGGCCTTGAACTCAGAGATCCGCTTGGCTCTGCCTCCCCAGTGCTGGGATTAAAGGCATGTACCACCACCACCTGGCAGGTATCTGGCTCTTTATGGGGATCTGAATTCAGGTCCTCATGCTTCGATAGTAAGCACATCACTTTCTGAGTCACCTGCCCCCCTAATGCCAGGCTTCCCTAAATACTAGAAAGTGTGGGAGCACAGAGTGATGAAGTCTGATAGACCAGCAGTCTGATACTGATGAATCCAAGTTTTTGTTCAGGTAAGAAACCTCTACTCCCTGGCTCCACCTAAGCACTGGGCAGGACAGGTCTACTTCGTCCCTCCATAGACACTTTGTATCAAAGACTGCCTGATGTCGCCTCACCCTCCTCCTTTCTCACCCCTCTCCAGGTCATTCCTCTTAGGTTAGGATTTGCAGCACCACCCTGGGCACACAGCAATTTGCTTAGGATGTGAACGAGCAACACCACCTCCGTGAGATAATGAAGTCTTATGCCTTCACAGGAGCTCTTCTTACTGCTCCTGACCAGGACTTAGCCACACTACCGCTCTCATACCACACCTAGCTCAGACCTACTGGCAAGTTACATCTTAAAGACAGTAAACCACAACATCCAAATGAGGATGAAATGGTAGAGGCCATATGTGACCTACAAAGCTTAAATGTATTTGTTATCTGCACATTTACCATAAAAGTTTTCTGTCTTTGCTATAAAATCTTTAAAATTTTTATTATTTTTATTACTATTAGAGTATGTACACATACTTGTGCTCAGAAGTCTGAGGGCATTCTGAGCATTGATTCTCTCTGCCACCATGCAGATTCTGGGCATCCAGTTCCTGTCATCAGGCCTGGCAACAGGAGCATTTACCTCCTGAACCATCTCTGGCCCTAGGAACATTCTTAGGAGCTCATTTTTTTATATAAAAGTAATGTGGGGTCAAACATATTAACCCAAGTCACTTTTCAAATACTGACAAACTTGTCCTTGGATGTTCATGATTTATTGTTCAGTTTCTCCAAAACTGAGTAAAATGTTCATTTGCAGACAGGTAGGCATGATTTTGTATCATGGGAGTTTTGGTTCCTCTGAACTTAATTGATATTCATGGCACTCAAATTCACACATGTGCTCACCTCTTAGCTGTGATGTCGCTGATAAAGTCCATGTTCATATCTATTTCACAAAATAAAGTTGCTACTTATGTGGGGTGTAATGATGAGGGAGTTGTGGAACTTGTGTTTTAAAAGTGAATAAAAAAGAAAAATGAAGAAGAAAACCAAACAGAAACAAACGGAAAGGAACGTTTTTTGACCTAACTTCCCACAGTGCCTCTAGGTGTGACTGGACGTCTACATGGGCCGAGGGACGAGAGAAAGGCACAGGAGGTGGCCAGTACCCTTGGAGCCTTGGTACTCACAGGAGGCAAGGTGTGACAGGAGCTCCGAGCAGGGACAGCCACAGGAAGAGCTCAGGCTTCTGGAAAAGTTCCAGGGATGGAGCCTGGAAAGGTCAAAAGGAAAGAGGATATTGCATTCCCAGCAGGGTGTGGGCTGTAATTGGAAACGTGAGGAAGGGCACAGAAGTAAAAACATTGGACAGTGTGCCCATGCCCAGCAAGTGCCCACACACAGTGAGAAGAGCAGAGGAGAAGGCCGAGGCCAGGGCCGGCTGCAGGCAGGGATGTCGCACTGATGACAATAAACATCAAGACGCCCAAACTGTTTAGAGCATGAATGTGAAGTCCTCTTTGGAAGTTCCAAGGAAATGCAGAGAAAGCACTGGAGTGAAGAGAGCCTGGGCTGGGAGGATGAGGATGTGTGTCACTATAAAAGAGGAAGTATCAAGGACTTTCAGGAAAAATCCAGAGACATTTTAAGAAAGGCAAACTTGACTGGATATGGAAAACAACACAATAGGAAAAAGTCGAGGTCAAGTTTAAGCTTCGACCACCCTCTAGAGCAGTGGTTCTCAACCTTCCGAACACTTCGGCCCATCATACATAGAGTTCCTAACGTTGTGTTAACTCTCAACCATAAAATCACTTCATTACTACTTCCTATCTGTAATTTTGCTACTGTTCTGAATCATAATGCAAATATGTGATAAGCAGGCTATCTGATATTCGAGCCCTGAGAACTGCTGCTCTACAGCCATTATTCAAGATATGAGGATGCAAATCCAAAAAATTTGCTTTCCTAGAAAAGAACATATTAATAGAAATTATTAAAAATGAACCACGCTGACCTCATTTGACCCCTCAGAAACTAAAGCAGAAGATACACTGTTTTGAATACACCATGTGTATTTGAATACACATGGTGTATTCTCCAGGTTTGAGCACACACTGTACACCTGAGCAGGTCTCACATTCCAAAGGACTGAGTTGTACAAAGTAAGTGCCCTGAGCAAACGAGGTTCAAGGCACAAGAGAAAAGCTCCACAGTAGATCAGAAAAGGCAGACCAAAGAACCAGTGCCATACAGACAATGGGAATTAGATGATCAAAAAGCAAGAGGAAGACAAAAGTGAACAGAACTTCACACACCTGCAGGACAGGAAGAAATTATAAAAACACTTGGTACCCCAAAAAGAAGAGAATCAGGAAAGGGGGTTGAAAAAGTTTCAAAATAGTGGTTAAATTTTAATCTAAAGATCCAAGCTGCTCAAAAAAGACCAGAGACACAAAGAGATCTACTCCTGCACTCACACATCATGAAAGACTACTGTTAGAAACCATGACTGCTTGTGTTCATGATATCACGACAACTAAAACCATAAAACTTAAAAGCCAACAAGGCAACTGAAATTGTGCACTTAAAAACAAATCAAAGCGAGGGCCGGAGAGAGACTCAGAAGGTAACAGCACTCAGTTACTTCAGAGCCACTCAGAACTGGCCCTGTCCCAGTTCAATCCACACGCATAGCATGACATACTCATGTCTCTGCACTCTCTTGCCCCACCCCCCCAATAAAAAATTAAACTTAAAATAAAAGAAATAAAGGAACAAAAATATTTGAGTTACATGAACTATAAATGGCAAAATGATGGATATGAATATAACCATATAAATAAGGATATTAAATATACACTGGGCTAGGTGTGGTGGCACACGCCTTTAATCCCAGCACTTGGGAGGCAGAGGCAGGTGGATCTCCAAGTTTGAGGCCAGCCTGATCTAAAAAGAAAATTCTAGGATAGCCAAGGCTACACAGAGAAATTCTGTCTTGAAAAATCAAAGACAAAAAGGAAAATGACTAAATAACCCAATCAAATGCAAAAGGATGTTAGACTGCCTTTTCAAAAGGTATAGTATCTGTAAGAAACACAGGCTAGAGTCAAAGGCACAACTAGGGTTTAGGTCCAAGGAGGAAAAAGTACAACAGACAAAAACCATAAGAAACAAAATTATTTTCCTATCACAAAAACAGACAGGAGGCTATGTGTTACCCTAAGAGAGATAGAGAGATAGTTCGTAATCATAAAATAGAAATTCAGGAAGAAACAGTAACGACAAGTATATACATACCTAATAAGAGCTCCAAATGAAGGGATGAAACAACACGAGACGCAGCATTTCAACACACCACTGTCACCACTGGCAGAGCAACAGGGCGTAAGTATGGCAAGGATACACAAGACTCAAGCCCCACGAAAAGCAAGCCGAGTCTTCTGACACCTTGGAAACTGCACCAGGAAACAGTTTTGGAGCGCACAATGCATTATCCAGGGTTAACCATATGCTACACCATTAAACAGGTCTCATAATTAAAGGACTGAAATCATACAAAGGGTGTACTCTGATCCATGGGATACAAGTAGGAATACACAGAAGAAAGAAATCTGGGAAACCTCCAAATACCAGAGTTAAGCAGCATACTTCTAAATAACCAACAAGTAAAAGAAATTGAAAGGAAAATTAGAAAATGTTTTTGATCAAATGAAAACAATCGTGAGCAAATGCCCAGGCTGACAGGATGCAGACAGGGAGGTGGGATGGCAGCTGAGCTCGGTGGTTCCGGGAAAGCTCCAGACATGCTTCAGAAGCTTCCACCAAGAGAGAGGAGAAAAAGAGCGACCAGGAAACTCAGAGTAAGCGGAGGGAACAATCAAAGCTACAATAATGAAGCAGAAATCTGCAAAACAGAAACTCAGTAGAAACCAGGTCAGTTCTTAAAGACAGCTGAGTGCCAAACCTTAGGCAGGGAAGCAGCCGGGAGGGCAGGGGGAAGGAGAAGACATGAACTGCTGAAATGGAACCAAGATGGGGCAGAGCAACTTCACAGGCATGAGCCGTTCCCTTCAGCAGGTGAACAGACACTCTGCTATGTACAGACAGCCCACCACTACTCAGAAAGAGAAGGGAACAATGGCACACTGCAGAGCTGAATCTCACGTCACCGAGTTGAGGGGCACACACCACACCATGACGGTTACACATTCCTTTGGGAAAGGCTAAACTCGTAGGCCAGAGAGCAGAGCAGTGACTGACGGGCAGGCCTGGACAAAGGCTGGCTGGTAT